ACCTCCTCCACGACCTCCTCTAGGCCTTCCTGCACGACCTGCTCCACGACCTCCTCCACGAATCGCTGTTCCGCGATTCATTCCGCGACCCCCTGTCCCGCGAAACCCCGCTCCGCGAAACCCCATTCCACGACTTGGACCTGATCGAAGACAGTAATACACATACTTAATTTTCAAGAACAATAATTACAAGAAATGTGAATCATAATGAGTGTAAACAACTGAGCAACTAATCTCGTATTTCACTTTACCGCCACGTGTGTAGAGGCGCCTTTTTACAATTATGCTGTAATGGGCGCCTCTTTTGAACGAAAGAATCACAGCAATTGATAAGAGAGACTTAATTACCTCCTCGTCCACCACGTCCACGACCGCCACCTTGAAAGTTTCCTGTGAAAAATAGAGTAATGATAAGATTTTTTTTCAATGTGTTGATACTTTCAACGAATCCATAGTGTTATTACCCCTTGTTGCCATTATGCGCGAGATCAAACGATAAGGGTGCGGTTTTCTTTATAAGGATATATCTCTTATTTTGAAAAAAATGCGATCTGGAAGCAATGGGGAGAGTTGTATAAATCTTTTGTGATAGTAATAACTATCGCGACATGGTCATGCCGAAAAAAAAACGATCCCGTGACCGATGGAGAAGTTCGAACAACAATGGTTAATCCCGTGATTACTGTTAATGATTTCCTACTGCTGCGGAGTTCAGAATGGAACTTCGTAGCAACAATGCTCATTGTAAACTGAAATCAGAACAATTCAACACTTTGGACCTTTTTAACACGGCCACATTTTAATTATTTTTCAATTTACAGTATATTATCTTGATAAAGCATTCACCCACGCAAGGATATGGTAAAGTATGAGATCTAACGCATAATCAGACTTTAATGTACTTATTATTCCAAGATTTATCACGTTCAATGGCTGAAGGAGAGGTTGCACCCATCCGCAAAAATATGAGTGGCACACCCTAAAATGGTTCACCGTTTCACTTGACCCAAAAAAATCTTACTACGGGCGGTTGCCTTTTAACATAGTATTTACGATAGATACTTTAGCGGATCAAATACATCAAATACAATGGGCAAGACCAAGGGACAACAGCGTATAAAAGGAAATGTACAACCAGCTAGTAGCAGGTGTGGATTGCTACTTCCTTTCCATTACTTTCTCAACTGCTTTTCAAGCTCAATTTAACAGTCTCCCCTTGTTTCCGTTGTCTCAGCCGTGCTGCCGAGATATTAGCGTCCAGCAGCTCACAATTACCAACGGCGAACTTAGGAGGCTTTGCCAAGTTCGTAGGTGGCACTCCTTTTGCTCCAAATCCTCCTGCGGTAGGAGATAGTACCGCTGATAGTATGGCTGGATCAAATATGGATCCAGAGTTAGTTCTTATCTTTAAGAAATTGTCTAAACGTGATACGACTACAAAACTGAAAGCATTGGAGGATTTGGAAGCCTATCTCCGAAAAAATGAAGAAGGCGATTTTGGTTCAAATGGACTCGTTGATGTTTGGGTATGTTGGTTACATAGATGTTTTTTGAGGCTTC